GGGATTCGAACCCACGCAGTAAGGGGAAGGCTTTGGTACAGCCAACGCTCTAACCACTTGAGCTGCGATTACCCCAAAACGGACGACTCGAGATTAATCACATTTGGGTCAAGTCATCAGCCCAACCTACTGCAACGTCTGGACCACTGTGACCAATCTCATTCTCACCTAGCCGACAAACTCGGATAGTCTGCTGGTGCACGGAACAGTGAGAGAGGGAGTGAGGGAGAGCGAGAGGCCAACACTGGAGGACCCATCCTCACGACGTATCGGTGCGCTCCGCACTATAATATATCTGACGTGTTTTCGTTGTCAACCTTCCCAGGACTGAGAAGCAGGCCCAAGTGCTCATTCTTCATGGGGCCTCCATGACACTCTTAGACATGTGAGATCCCAGACGCTATTTTCGCGCAAACCTGATACCGAAACCAGGTCAATGTGATGCCCTGCTTGGTCAGTCACGCTTTCCCGAGCCCACCTGCAGTCGTATTGACACAGTTCTGCCGACGGAGGCGAACAGGTGGGAGCTTACAGAGTGCTGTTGATGCTAAGCCAGTCTGCATCCCAGTCATGCACTAACTCAGGCTCAAGTTTTCGGCCAATCAGAGACATTGAAACCGGTTAATCATGTCCAGAGCTGCCGCGAACCTGTCCTCATAACTCTCGGACGCCTGTCCCACCAGCTCCGAAAGATCAGCACCGTTAAGCTGCGTCCAAATTGATCCCGTTCTGCGCGGAATATAAATTCCCCTCCACTTGGTACTCGACCTAAAATTTGTGACAGTGTGGCGGTCAAGGATGTAAGATCAAAGTAAACCACGCACAATAATTTCGCTTCGGCTAATGTCAGCAGTCGGGGAGGTGTGAGGACTAGTTTATTCTGTACAAAGGGCTGGTAGGCGTAAGTTAGCTGTTTGCTTGCAACAGAGATAAGCGTCAGTTCACGGAGAGCGTCAGTCGCGGTGTGTTGTTTAAGCGGGTGTGAGTGTCTGTGTCAGAAGGTGGGGGTGACTGGTTGAGTGCTGGTCATGAGATTGGACGGATTAGGGGGAAGCATAATCACAGGGGCTCACGGGTATCAAGCCAGGCAGTCCGACGTGCGTGAGGTGATAATAGCTTGTACGGGACAGCCGGGAGCCACTGCAGTTGGACAGGAGGGGCCCAGTTCTAGCCGGCGGGGGTGGTCGTGTGTCAGCGGCCTGGCAACGATTACCGCGGCCATCGACCGACAAAACGGAGCCGGAGAAAAGGGGACTACAGCGGCTGCTACACCAGACACCTGACGAAGTGAAGGCGTCGACATGCTAGCCAGCCACAAACCTGTCAGGCCAGTGGACTTGACGACCAGATCGTGTGCGGCGAACCGGAGGCGGGCTGTCGCGAGTAGGTGGAGGAGGCATCACTGTTCGCGGCCGAGTAGGGTGTTGGTGTGAGGGATGTAGGCCGGCTTGACGCCCGCATCTTCCCGACGCGAGGTATTATGTCGAGTAAAGGACCCCGTGCCCAAAGAACAACTTACTAACGCCATCTACCCTATACCGTAGGCCAACTGCCCTTCTGTTTATATTGGCCATACAGGCCGATGGCTTGGGACTCGCCTTAACGAGCACAAGTTAGCCCTCCGCCGACGTGACCCTCCGTCCCTCGTGTTCGCGTACGCCCTTGAACACGACCACCGCTTCAATTGGGACGGTACTAAAGTGATCGCAAGGACTAACACCAGACAGGCTTGGCATTCTGGCACGACCAGCATCAACCGCCACGTCGATCTAGACGCCCACTACGAGGGCTTACGTATACGCTCACAGTCTTGTTCCCACCCTCTAACAACTTTCAACCCCCACTCGGCCACATAGATGTATGCAGTATCGCCATTCCGCAACCCCCCCCCGCCCCCCTTGCCACACGGTGAGCAATAACCCAAACGCCCTAACACCTCCAACGCCGGCGCATTGCTCCCTGACCTCAACCCGAATCATTGACCAGCCGCCCGCATTCCCACTGATCCGTAATCCTCCCGCGTTTTCTCCACCTCCAACACAGGGAGCCCTAACGGTTCTTCCTTCCCTCCCCCTGCCCCAAAGCCTACCATGACTCGGTGCCCATCCCTCTCACGCATCAGCTGTCTGTTTTGTCGTTGTCTGTCCTGTCGCGCCAGCGGACTTAGTCTGCCCATTTCACTTTCCCCTCTGCTCATTTCGTCTAACGACGGGTCGGTGTCTCTGACTTGAAAATTTACGAGTACAAATCGATTTTCCCAAGAGCCTCCTCTTTTTCATTTATCTATGTACATAAGTAAATACTATATACGGCTCATAAAATTTTGCCACTATTGTGAATTAAGTTGTATACTTACCGAGTCAAAGGATCTTAAAGCGTGTGCTAGACCAGTATCAACAAGCCACAGACCTCACAGTCTGGCATGCGCCGGCAGTTCGCTGACACCTGGTAGATGCGCCTGCGCTACCGCTGAGTCTACAGGTTGTGGGCATGACTGCCTCGTCCTTCTGACCCCTGATTGGGTGTTGTTGTTGGTGAAAAATCCTGATCAAGTGTATGTTGTGGACCAGAGGATGTGGTGACACGCTTAGGTGCGGGTCCGGCCGTGTCAGACACCTCCACCCTCCCACACCTCCGGCCTCCTAGACTCTGTCTTGACACCCGGTCCAGGAGAGGAGTGGAGGAGAGTGCGGTAAATGCTGTGCAAGTATAGTGTCACTATAAATTAATTCAAGCGAAAGTCACCGTTCCTGCTGCACCTTGTTGTGTAGCACACGGGGGACATCGTCGGAATCAACGGTCAAACTCGATAGAGGGTATAATCAAAAGGGCCCATGGTGTAGTTTTCGAAATTGAGACAAGTTGAGGACGTGTTAGGAGACACGCCAACCAGTTGAGACACCGATTGACGTCAGACAACCAACTGGTCATGGACGTACTTTGTGACACTTTCGATATCCCGACTCCGAAGGTTGAGGTTCCAAATGTGGTCCAGGCCCCTAGACGATCCTATCGAACTAGACGCCCGCCGAACAGACTTATGATCCACCCAAACTGACGAATATACGAGGTCCACTCGTTACCAGCAAGAGGTGTTAGGACGGCCCAGAACACGACGCACCGTTCCTGTCGTCCGGAGGTCATGCCTGACAAAGAACCGCAAACTCACCGGACAGCCTCGCCTACGAAGGCCGCACACTAGCCAGACATTAGCACGCCGCTGAGTCATACGTCACCTCCGGGCGTCAGTAACACGCGAGGGCCTGCCCATGCGGGCGCTCAGGACTGGACCAATAGGAACACGCAAACCAGACGAAGGCTGAACCCTTAAATACGCAGCTACGGACGGAAGGATTAAGAGTTGGTGTACACTGAGTGACTGACAGCTCTTCTCTGGTATCCTGTCTGTCATCTATTCCGCACAGAACTGGCCTCACACTATTCGGGGATATAACAATTCAAAAACGCAGTTTCGAATTTAGGTCAACATTTTATGAGACTGGTGGTCACTGACTGTAAACGCAATTAGGCGAAACACCGCCAACGGGTCTTGATGACGCCGGTGTAGATGAAGGACTCCACGCACATTTACTCTCATGAATAGTAAACAGCTGATGAACAATGTCAATTGAGGTGAACTCTGCAACCACAGATGAACACGATTGGCATATAAGTCCAACGGTCAACAGGGTAGACTTAACTCGGTTTATGCACGTCTGTACACACTAGGGAGGAACGGGATGAGTCGTTTTTTGCATCTACTTATCAAGATGCATGAAGGTGACGTCAGAGTCATCGCACGACGAAACTGACTAAATGACCGACAGACGTAGGTGAACAGTAGGTAGACGCAACCAGCCGAAATGCACATGGCACCAACGGGATAACTTCCACCCTGAACACCTCCACATTATATCAGGTCACTGGGAAACCCAAGGAAGCGAAAAAATGCACTACACATACCACCAACGCCGATGAACGTAGCACGCCTACAGAAGGTAACTGGCACCTCACCCTACTGAATTGTGTTTAGTAGTAGTTGGATATTGGGAACAACAAAGCGCTGAAGGACAATAGGACACCTCCTAACCCCACCCGCCCCTGCCTCGTTCAGCACTAACAAGTGGGCTCAGCGGACCACCAGCCGCGGTGAAGCGCTGACGGACGCGGTGTGCTCGTCATCAAGCCAATCTCTGCCAAAAGCAGTCATGTCGAAAAGGAGACAAAACGGACAATCAGTGCAATACGGCTACCGGTGTGTATGAAGGAGATCCTAACAATTATGCACTCCATGGGCGCAAGGGAAGCGTTTGCGACCTTACTGGGTATGCGGGCTGGAAGGAACGGGTAGCAGTTGCCACAACAATGCACGCAGCCGGTCGGATCTTATCGCATAGCCGTACCTGTAGTAGACAAGGCAAAGCCTAACCTCTAACAGGTGCGGCTATGAAATAGGATCTTGCACGCGCCACAGCCTATCAACGAAGGTGGTAAGAGGATTGTAGACGTACCTACGTAGAAAAGCAGACGAATACAGAACACCAGGTGGCACGGCAAGCCTACGCATCGGCTGCGGCAACAAGGAGGAATGAGGTAGAAGTAAGCCAACCTCAGCGGACAGAATGCACGTCTGATTGGAATGTCAAACGAAGAAAGAACTCCAACCAGCACGATACACCAGGGGGGGGGAAGGGTTCGGGGTGGAGGCGATGGCTCTTAAGGTGGGCGTAATCCAACCGGCCATAATGTCGACATGAGAAAGAGGAGGAGGCCCTGGCAATTGCGGTAGTAAGCTGTCACTGGACTACGGAATGTGATGGCAAACCGTAAAGTTTACGAATCACTCTCAAGACCCAGAGCCAACAATAAGCGCAGTTTAACTTGGATTTGCAATCTCTACATGAGATTTTGCAACAGGCAGGTCAAAAATAATAAGAATAAAGTGAAAGCCAAACTTTAAAAATTCCGCTTCCCTCACAGATTGGCAAATCAATGACTCCTTAAGGGATAGTTTGAACAACTTCTTGAAATAGATACGCCGGCACTGTGATGCCATAAGCTATGCGTAACGTCAAAGCTGTCTTCGCAAAGCCATCCCACTGTGTTGAGTGGATAGAAACATAATCCCCCAGCTTGACATTCTCCTGCTTGAAATCCGCAATGGCTCGCCACCAGCGTCTCTGTGTAAAGCTGCACTGGTACATCTGATCCACCGACTGCATCTGGAATGCGGCATCACCATGAATTGGGGACTTTGCTGAGAGAAGTTCGTAGGCAAGTCTGCAAACGTTGGAGCTGCCCGTGCAGACCAGGAAGTCGGCCGACACCAAAAGCTGCAGATCCACGAGGATGGCGAGCACACCTGCGGTGGACCAACGATTTTCAAATGCACTTCCTTCTCTCTGTCGACCAATAAACTCGTATTTGGGATATCGCGATCTGGCTTCCTGGAAAACTGATGAATCATCAGAAGCCAAGAATACGCGTCGCCGGCAAGACCAGGTGGGTGGGTTTGCATTGCCAGACTTCAATCCGTATTCCACTTCCTTCAAATCGAAAAAGTGTTCGACATGGAGCATGTATTCCTCCAGTGCATGGAACTCTGCCTCCCAGGCGAGTTTATCAGTTCGGCGAACGTGTACGCTGGCGATTGGTCCATTCCCACCTATCCTCATATCTTCTACTTCCATTTCTAGTTCACGACGCACGGCCGGATCTCTCGGACGAAGAATGTAATCCAACAGGTGTCCACGGTACCACGGAAAGGGATCTCCAAGTGCACCACGTAGTTTCTCTGCCAATTCCCCTGGAATAGCCGGTGGATAATAAGGCTTCATCTCACTTGAAAGTCCGTTTTCTAGGTGAGGGATGTCTGGCAGTCCTTCGGTGTGCTTCAGCGAGCAGTTAGAGAACGGCAGGAAGAAGTCCTTCCAGTCATTGCGTTGCAGCAGCAGAATGCGATTGGTTGCAAAGGCAAATGAAAACTTCAGAGCCGTGTGATGAGCAGAACACCCAAACCCGCAGATATAATACTGTTCCGCCAAAGCGAAACGGGACCCACTGCAGTCGGGAGGATTCTGCAGTCTTGAAATCTGATGCCGCAGCTCTGAGCTCAGTGCATCCACTTCCTCACGTCTTCTGTCGCGTCGGCCGCTGAGTTTGTCCAGCAGACCCAGTCTCGCCGTGATCTGAAGTGTAGCCTGAGACAGGAGACTGTTCAGACGTACGGTTGGCAGAGAGGCTTCACTATTACGTGTAGTAGGGAAGTAGGCATTATTCAGCCTCCATAGTTCGTTGAGAGTTGATCTTGCCTGTCTGATTAGCCCATCGGTCTTTTGTGGTTCAGCCTCAGTTAGAGTGGGATGCTGGAATGCCACTTCCTCGGGCTGACTCCAATGCCATTCTATCAGCCAGGTAAAAGTAAGACGCCAAAGTATGCAAATAAACAGCAAAGTGATGCAGAGAATAGCACGTACTGCCTTTGCTGGCCTCGTGTGATTTTGAGGAGACATGAACAGACCAGCCTCTGCTCCTCTTGACCTCAGCACAGGAGGCGCGTTGAAGGACAGCTGACTTCAGGGCGTTCAGTCGCCAATTTTCACACCTTTCTGAGCCTAGTTAATGCCAGCCAGCCAATAGCAGGACGGGGCCTGCAACGTGGACCTTGCAGCCAACCGCTGCACGTGACTGAGGCGCGGCGTGTCCATACTTGCAGGGTTTCCCGGGGGGGGCTTGTATGGCTTGCCAATGGCATGTCCACATTCAGAGCGTCCTACGGACATGCGGACCCGTACGCATTCAGAGATCTTTACGTCCCAGCACCAATGCTACAACTGGGCCACGAGCGCGTTGCCCTGTCGGTTTCCGATCGGGAATATACAATGGTAGGGGGCGCTCACCCTAAAAAGACAACAATATGGCTCAGATCTACTGCTACATTTTATGAAGCCCATTTGGTCTCCCCTCGATGCCGTAGAGAAATGTATGGTTTTCCGTGAGCAGAAAATATACGGCTTGTAGTTTGGAAACCCTGAATGCAAGTACAACAGTAGGTCGTGTTCGAAATTATTTGGGCATTGGAGAAGTTTTTGAAAACCAAATTATTTTCCTCCTTTGTTTATAAAATTGGAAGAAGACGCATTTTCTACCGAATGAGCAAAATAATGAGTATTGTTATGCATGTTTTCCGTGAAATATAATTGAATTTTTAGGGGCATCGAAAATCAGTGAGAAAATGCATGCTACAAAAGTAGTCACATTTTACACAATGTAGCTTATACATGCTGCTAAAATAAAGTTCGTTCGAAAGCCGGCATCCTGGGATAACTGAATTATTGTAGAATTCGTCACAAGATGATTGCTTTTACAACCCCACCTACTTCGTCTTTTCGAAACGAAAGCGCATTTTGGAATTTCCGTTGACATTTCATGAGTTAGCACTGACCTACTGTAACTTCGCCACTGGACTCCAGATGAACTGCAATCTCGGGAGGATTTTGCCATGCGACAGGAGACTTCACTATTTAACTAAAATTTATTCACGATAAACATTCTCGTTGAAGCCACTGAGGGAGAAAGAGAGTTAGAGATGAACACATGAAGTCCGATTGCCACATGAACTATTCGCCAGAAATGTCTATCTCCAAGTCTTTGTAAATGCTGCCTCCGTTCTCGCAAGGACAAAACAAAAGTAGATGCCCAATCAATAGTTCACCCTGTGAATAATCAGGCTTAAGTTGAGAGTGTAGAGTTAGCGGTGGTATTACGTTTAGGATCAGTATTAGTAGTTATAAAGCGGGTTGGTTGCTGACTTTAGTATTTACGGTCAGCGTTGACATCACCCTTATTGGTTGTTTGCAATTTCTGGCGTACTAATTGCACCCGGCTGCTGATTTAACCTCCGAGTCCTGTTGAGACTGACGATCGATTGTCGCCTCCTTGCTGAATAAAAACTTCCATATTACACAGGCCCCCAACGGGTTGCCATGCGTCCTTCCTCTAAGAACGACAGGAAAACGCCCAAATTTTTCGCCGAGACGCCAAAGTTGTCGTAGCGAAGCCAGGCAACACAAAATGCAACTTGCGAGTCCTCTGTTCAGATCGACACACTTGAAGAAATGTCATTTGCAGTTGAGGTCTACATCTTGGCTGGGTGTAGACCAAGACCAGTAGCTAAAATGATCGGAAATGGTTTTCATTCGGCTGAAACCCGAATCCTTGAAAGATACCGCAGCAGAAAGCTTTTGGAATCTGGGTCTCACTTATCCCGCGTTCTATCACTCCTCCAAGTAGAACATTTCGATTTGTTCTGAGAATTCATCGTTGCCGTGGTAAGGAGGAAACATCAACTTCGCCATATTCTGAAGTAGGCAAGAACGGCAGGATTTATTGGCACCAAAAAATTTCGCGACTGCTCTTCAGCTGCTTCCTGTCGCTTCATAAGAGGGATAACGAGTGAGAACAATACAACAGATTTAAATTCATGCAGAAAATCGATGTAGAAACAGCAAGGTTAGTGTTTTGGGCAAAGTTGGCTAGTCGATAAAGTTAGTAACACAAACGCCGTAGGGGAAGAAAGTGAAAAAAGGAGGAAACGTTAAAGAGCAAAAATGAGAGGAGAGAGGGGGAATCATGGAGCCAGAGGCTACCATGGTAATGTTAGGTTAACCACGTGCTCCAATTGTTTACAAAGATCTGGTTTCACTCGTCGTATATAGGCTGCCTCCAGGTAACGCAATGTCCGAGTTGTTCGTGCCCGAACAAGTACTCGGAAGGAAGTTTTGGGGTCGACGGTGTGACCAGTATCAAGTAGGTGTTTCGTAATCGATGAACGAGGGATCTTATTTTCTTGTCTAAGGAGCCACTTGGGCAGGTGCTCAATTGATCTGGCTGCCAACTGCCTTTGCGTTCGCCCAATGTACTTGCATCCACAAGTGCATGTGAATTCATAAACACAATTTGACGTGGCGTGCAATGGCAGGGCATCCTTTGCCCTTGGAATCGGAAGTGGCTTAGTAGGACTGCAGAATACTAGTCCGGCTGCATTGTATGTCCTTTCAATAGCAGAACGTAGCCGTCGTTTGATAGTATTTAAAATATTGTCGCCCTTAAAGGGCAAAGATATAAAGACGGGCTTTTTCGGAGCTGAATGATCTGTCAGTTTTGGCCGCGTAGAGTTGCTGTATTTGTGGATGAACCGTGCGGGATATCCACGCTTAAGTAGAGCTTCTTTGAGACGTGCAAATTCTGCATCCAGTGTGTCATTGGAGCAAATGTTTCTAGCCCTTTGGAAAAGAGCGTATACCAAGTTACGTTCTTGCCTACTTCAGCTTCGTACCAGGGACAAAATGCTTCAAATTCGCCATATTCCGCTCAGCAGAGGAAAGACAGATTCAGCTTCATGCTCAATGAAGAAGAGGTGTGACTGTGGTCTTGCGAATTCCAAATTGGATGTGGACCGTCATTGTCCCTCGAGAGACAACCCGGAATACTAAATCGCAGTGTAGTTCCAATGGACGATGAGCTCGGTCACATCGGTACAACTACTTGAAAGGGACGCTCACCGAACGCATTACGGAACTCACTCATCGCCTTGTGCCAAGGGCCCTCTATCGAGCCTGCACACGGAAGTTGAACAGCGACAGAATAACGTTGGTGATAAAAGCAAGAAAGACTAGAATGACCATTTCTGGCTTATTAGCTATCGACATCCGACCTTGAGGTGTGCAACACCTTGGACTTGATGTCGCCATCTGTTGGTTAGAAGTCTGACATCCTCACCACCGAGCCGTGGGTTCGTTGTCCTGTCTCCAAGACCCGGAAGCAGCCAATAGGATACAGCGTTGTCTCATAAAGGACATGCTCTACGCCAATTCTCAGAAAAACGCCGAATATTAGAGCTGAAAACGGGCTGGCCACTGGGCTTTCGAGGCCCTACCCGTAAATCCCCGATTACCACCATCCTCCTTTTGGAGGCGATCAATCACCGAAGTGCTGGACAGCTGCATATACCGACTTGCTGTCTCTCGGTCTTGAAGTCAAACCGTATTCCTGTCTGATTTATGTCCTGGTGTCTCTCATTTTAATTGTTATTATGTCGTCCTGCTCACTAGAATGCGACAAGTCGGATTCTTACCTGATTTCACACACCAAGTAGTGTCAACAGCAACAGCTTCACAATAGGCATTTTCGGAGATCTAAGCCTAGCTCTCATTGCAAAAATATTAGTTTGTAACTTCAACCATGCTGTCTCAAGTAATGTTTAGAACCGTCAATCTGCTTCCCCGAGGCTTCTACAATCGGGCCTTTAAAAATAAACCCTCACATCAGTAGTTTAAGTGGAATATCGTCGACTCTATTTGTTTCACGAAATACAGTGAGTGACAGATCTCATGAAATGTGGGCCAAAATTCTGAAATACATTTTCTATTAGGAAGGATAACTTAGGTAGGTTTGTAATATTGATTATCATGGGCATAATCCTATGGTATTTAGGACTCGACAGGCTGTCGACATTTGAATGATACCGCAGCAGAAAGCTACGAAGAAGCTTTTGGAATATGGGTCTCAGTTATTCCGCGTTCTGTCACTCCCCCAAGTAGAACATTTCGGCTTGTTCTGATAGCTCGAGAATTCATCGTTGTCGTGGTAAGGAGGAAACATCAGCCCCCAGAAGGTGAACAGCGACAGAACAACGTTGATGATAAAAGCAAGGAAGACTGGAATGAACATTTCTGGGACTTGATGTCGCCACCTGTTGGTTAGAAGTCTGACCTCCTCACCACCGAGCCGTGGGTTCGTTGTCCTGTCTCCAAGACCCGGAAATAGTTGGCTGTGATGAAGCCGGAACGATTGGCCGCATGAATTGGGGGGTAACGGTGCAGGAATTTAGTCGAATCCACGCTCGGGCCACCGGATCCTCAGCGGCGCGTAGGGAGGTGCTAACCTGACCGGAAAATCGCTCGACGGGATGTTCTCGTCAGAATTCGTATGTACCTGAACCCGCCCGTAGATGGCGTAATCTGAGATTGTGAGCAGTCACTGGAGGGCACTTCTGAAGTGCTCGTCCCAACGCCTCAAAATTAGCAATTTTCCCACGAGAAAAGTGAAGTGGTTTCTTTGGTGTGTTGAAGTAGACCGTCTTGATTGACGCCGGCATATCCGCCTGTTTATAAAGGCCTTGGAATTCATAAACACGCTCGACATATCCCACAGAAGTTGCACCAAACAAATGCATCTGAATTAGGTCGCTGTGTTTGCGTCGGTTCAGCAAATGATTCAGTTTTGTTTGGCCGATTCACCTTGACGAGCAGGTTGCCGATTTCCCTGTTGTTAAATTCAAACCAACCTTGATGTTGACGACGCGGGTAACCTAGAACGTCCAGGAAGGTGAGGTGGATGGTATGTCCCAATTGGCGTCACTGCGTGTCCACGTTAGCGTTGTCATCCAAAGTCTGTATTTCGTCCAGGCGATTGACCCGTGGATTGCTGAGATCTGGGCGGTAAGCAGACAAAGCCAACTGAACAGTGTTCAACCGTCCCCAAGGTTGCTTATTTTGTGGTCCCCTGCGGGGGTGCAGTCGGCGCCTCATCTTTGAGATTATGACGCGCTGATTCATCCAACCATCGGTGATATCACCGGCACATCAAGTTTTACCGCCTTGAGCGGCGGAACGTCCAGGTTGCGTTCTCCCACATCGGATGGGGGAAGAGGTGTTGATTAGGTTGAGGTGGTGTCCTGTAGAGGCTCGTAGAAGGACAATGCTGTCGAAATCATGCAGCAAACCAAAAAGGCCATACTTACATTATATGCTTGTTTTTAATAATGCTAACACGGATTTGGCGAGACGAGCAGTATTTCACCATGGCAGATGGACGATCCGAACGCTCCTCCAAGATTGCCACGCGAGACTTCGCAAGCACTGTCAAAGGATTGACCAAGAAAAGACCAGATTCTGTGAGTTCATGGGTGAGATCGGTACAAATCTGCTCCTGCAGAGGATAGTTGAACAAGCTCGCGAACAGAGCATGATACGCGACGCAGCACTGGAGAACAAATTCCGAAAGCTGTCCAATCCTACGTCGCCCTGAAACGACAAACTGGTGCACAACGTGTCGTCAAAGGAGCTGACGAGGGATCAGATGCAGGCTTTACGGCACGAAACTTCATTTAACACGGCTGACGCCAAACCTGTTAACATGATTGTAGCAGTGGAATCAATCCTTAGTCAGACGGAGGAGACTAAGAGCCTCATCCGACACCAAGTGTCGTCCCTCCTAATGGCCCACAGACCGCGGGAAGTGCTTTCAAAGGTCGGAATTGATGCGCTTAGAGAACTTAAGGCCGACAAAGACCTGGCCATCGTGTCAGAGGACAAGGGGCGCTCCACGGTTGTACTGGACAGGACAGACTACCTTCAAAAAACCAAAGGTTTATTGGAGGACCGACAATTCTATGTCGCATGTGCAATGAACCCTGTAAAAGCGCTTACACGTTAAATTAATGCTACGTTGTTGGCCTTGGAGAATTTGGGTGCAATAACACCGACCGACAGACGCATGGCGAGACCCCAAGATACGGCTTTGGCCCGATTCTATGGCCTCCCTAAGGTGCACAAAGACGGCGCTCCTCTCCGACCCATCGTGTCGCCTAAAGGTACTCCAACGTACGGACTGGCTAAGTGGCTGTTCCGGCGTCTCAAGTTCCTGACTGCTGAGTCAGACACCACGGTCTCTTCGTCATCAGAATTCCTGGAGAAACTTAAAGGGGTAAGCCTCCATCCAAATGAGGCCATGGTATCTTTTGATGTTATGTCCCCTTTTAACTTTTATTCCACAGGACCTGGCCATCGAGACAATCCAGCCGCTTCTACAAAGCAAATACGATGAAGCGGATGATCGTCTTGGACACACCCAAGTCCTTCAACTTATAAAGTCCTATCTTAAGACGTACTTCACGTTCGACGGGACAATCTACGAACAGGTGAAGGGCACACCAATGGGTTCGCCGATTTCGGGATTCATAGCTGAGGCGGTCCTGCAACGGTTAGAGTCGCTGGTCTTCCAACACCACAGGCCGAAATTCTGGGCCCGGTATGTGGATGATACCTTCGTCGTCATCGAACGGGATCAGGTGTTGACATTCCAAGAACATATCAACTCCGTTTTCCCGAACATTCAATTTACGATGGACGAGGAGGAGGAGAACAACCAGCTGGCCTTCCTGGATGTCCTGGTATGCCGCAAGCATTGTGGTGAACTAAAGACCAAAGTGTTCGGAAAAGCGAAAAATACTATGTAAGTACTGATCTTCAACAGCAAACACCCAATCAACCACAAACGCAGTTGTGTAAGGACACTCTATCGTCGTGCCAAAATACACTGCAGTGGGCCGGAAGACAAGATTGCCAAACTACAACACCTCCGATGGGTCCTCAAAGCTAATGGCTACCCGCGCAACTTTGTCAACCGTACATACACAGAAGGGCCGAGAGGCCTAACCGTACGGAAATCAAATCTTGACGGGCATTTCCATATGTCAAGACCGTTTCGGAAGCTTCGGCCACCTTCTCGCACCACTTGGGGTTGAAGTTGCACACAGACCCCAGGCAACCATCAGGCGTCTGGTAATGAAACCAAAAGACCCACTGCCACGGCTAGAAACGTCTGGAGTCGTTTATCAGATCTGTTGCAGTTGCGGACATAGCAATTACGCCGGAGAAACCGGAAGACAGCTTCGAACGCGAATGGTCGAGGACGCTGCAGATGTGCGGAAAAATAACGCCAGCTCTCAAGTTGCGGCTCATTCAACGAGATCCGGCCATACATTCAGATTCGAGGAGGCTGAAATTCTCGATAGAGGTGACAACCGCGTGAGCCAGGGGCTACTTGAGTCATGGTTTGCTAGCTTCTTGTGCAGTAACAAATGCACCGACCTCCCCCTTCCATACTCGGTGTTGAGACTTCGCCTAGACAGAGTAATTGGCCACGCGGAAAGCTCACAGGGGGACACTGTTCCCAACGCCAGGGTCGGGAAGTCAGATGGTCGAGCAATCATCACACCAACATCAAACGCATGTGATGAAATCGCAGACATTAACGACGTGAATATCGGCCATCAAATTGCCAGCACACCAAGTGCAACCATCCCTGATGAGGGTAGGAGGAGCCGTGAATATTCGAAGGTATGCAGTAGCATGACGACTGCATCCTATAAATACTTCAGCCCATTGTGCATGAAATACCCGTATCTGCTTTTGTCTCTGATGATGGGTTCGAGCAGGAATACGAAACGTCAGGCTAATAAAGCTCTTGTCCCAGCGATCGTGTCTCTTTCTTCATGACTCTGAATTCAACACTGTGGATTGGTAAAAGCAGCCAATAGTATACAGCGTTGTCTCATAAAGATAATGCGATGCGCCAGTCTTCAGGAAAAGGCCAAGTACTAGTGCCGAAAACTGGATGGCCAGTGAGCTTTCAAGGCCCCATCCGTAAATCCCCAATTACTACCATCCTCCTTTTAGAGGCGGTCTATCGCCAAAGTGCTGGACAGCTGCATATACCGACTTGCTGTCTCTCGGTCTTGAAGTCAAACCGTATGCCTGTCTGATTTATGTCCTGGTGTCTCTCATTTTAATTGTTACTATGTCATCCTGCTCACTAGAACGCGACAAGTCGGATTCTTACCTGATTTCACACACCAAGTAGTGTCAACAGCAACAGCTTCACAAAAGGCATTTTCGGAGATCTAAGTTTGGCTCTCTTTGCAAAAATATTAGTTTCGAATTTCAATCATTATGCCTAACATAATTTTTAGAACTCCTAACGTCAGTAGTTTAAGTGGAATATCGGCGAATTTGTTTGTTTCACGAAATACAATGAGTGATCGATCTCATGAAATGTGGGCCAAAATTCCGAAATACATTTGCGATTAAGTGGGTTTGTAATATTGATCATTATGCGGCATAATTCTATGGTATTGAGGACTCGACAAAATGTCGACTTTTGCATTCCCTTCTTCTCGACATCCTATAGGAAATGCATTCGCAAAAATGACTACTGGAGTAGCATGCGCAGTCCACATTTATTTTAGTCGGTCTTAAAAATTCAAATATACTTCATAGAAAACGTGCACAAAAATAGGGTTACTTTTACTCGTTTGGTAGAGAATCACGTTGCCTTTACATTTTATGCTCAAAAAAATGCGCATTTTGGTGTTAAGAGATATTTTCCGATTCCCGAATAATTTTGGGCCAGATCAGTCGTTGCATTAGCGTTGACCGATTTAAGTCCATGAAGTACATGCTTTCCACGTAGGGATAATCATATATTTATCCATGTCTTTAAGAAGATAGCATTAAATCCTTAAATTTTGCAGTTGATGTTGATTATGTTGTATACTTTACGGAGAGCATTAATACACCTACGGGCACGACGCTGTATGAATGGACATTGCACCGTCTTGAAAAATCTTACAACTAGAAACTTTTTTAAAACGGAAAAAATATATTTTTATTGAACACAAAATGTGAAGGTGACGTGATTGCCTACCGAACGAGTAAAAGAAACAGTTTTTGCGCACTTTCTTTTATAAAACATATTTGAATTTTTAGGAACATCGAAAATCAGTGTGAAATACGTATGCTACTCAAGTAATCATTCATAACGAAGGCATTTTCTACATGATGTGAAGAAGAAGTGCACGCAAAAGCCGTCATCCTGTCGAGTCCTAAATACCATAGGATTATGCCAACAACGTAGCATTAATTTTACGTGTAAGCGCTTTTACAGGGTTCATTGCACATGCGACATAGAATTGTCGGTCCTCCAATAAACCTTTGGTTACTGTCCTGTCCAGTACAACCATGGAGCGCCCCTTGTCCTCTGACACGATGGCCAGGTCTTTGTCGGCCTTAAGTTCTCTAAGCGCATCAATTCCGACCTTTGAAAGCACTTCCCGCGGTCTGTGGGCCATTAGGAGGGACGACACTTGGTGTCGGATGAGGCTCTTAGTCTCCTCCGTCTGACTAAGGATTGATTCCACTGCTACAATCATGTTAACAGGTTTGGCGTCAGCCGTGTTAAATGAAGTTTCGTGCCGTAAAGCCTGCATCTGATCCCTCGTCAGCTCCTTTGACGACACGTTGTGCACCAGTTTGTCGTTTCAGGGCGACGTAGGATTGGACAGCTTTCGGAATTTGTTCTCCAGTGCTGCGTCGCGTATCATGCTCTGTTCGCGAGCTTGTTCAACTATCCTCTGCAGGAGCAGATTTGTACCGATCTCACCCATGAACTCACAGCATCTGGTCTTTTCTTGGTCAATCCTTTGACGGTACTTGCGAAGTCTCGCGTGGCAATCTTGGAGGAGCGTTCGGATCGTCCATCTGCCATGGTGAAATACTGCTCGTCTCGCCAAATTGAAGAGTCCATTGGCAAACATATGTTTTCGGGAATTCATCATCAGGCCAGTACATTTACATGGTATATGATCAGTCTAATTACTGACAGGATATAAATGAGTCTCGGAAGCAGGATATATTGGCCGTACCACCAGGCGTCTGGAAAAGAGGATACGCGAACACATGCCTGCCTGGCTAGGTAGAGGTGAACATCGACCGATTTCGAGTTCAATTCTCGCACATCTAATCGATACGAACCACCAAGCGGACGCTAAACAAGCTTTTAATATTATCTACCGGGCACCGGCACACTACTCTAAACACCTGCGCAAACGGGTGCTAGCCACAGCCGAAGCAGTAGCCATTCGACTGGCGAACCCAGCACTCTCTTGTCAGAAGACGCTGACACAAGCAGTATGTCTGCTCTGGCCGACTCCAGACGGTGATCGCACGCCGTTCCTACGCCCTGAGAGCAGTCACACGCACTCACAGCGCCTACACTAACTGGAACACCTCTACTTCCCCCCCCCCCTCCCACACCAACACCACCGTCCTCCACACGTTGACTCCGTATGCGGGCGGCGTGGGAACGTGGAGTCCGATCAACCCTGCTCCCGAGACGCATTTATATCCTGCCGACAATTAGACTGATCATTTCCCATGCAAATGTACTGGTCTGATGATGAATTAACGAAAACGTTTGTTTACCAATTGACTCATCTACATAAGTAATTATGGAGGAGGATTAGAGGCTAGAGAGAACATCTTGCAACATGTTGTGCAAACCGACGCCTTGCACACACCTACCGATAATGCGGATGATTGTCATTTCATTTTACTGATATCATCTACAACTGAGTGTTCTTGAGTATCGGTCCTGTATTCTCAAAGGGAAATATTACGTTGAGTGTATATATTACTGAAAACATTTAAGTACCATGTTTATTCATATTTACGTATTGCTTGTGCCATTGTTGATAGGGCTTTCAAAGGCATTCTCATTACCCTTAAATATACTGACCTAGGTATTCCCACCGCGAATGTTCAGTACGGCTTGTAAGCTCTTGTAGTGACCCTACTCGTGTTGTCTGCCGCATTTCTGTCTCTCATGATCGCTCTTGCATTCATGAATCAGCGACAGCCGTTCGTACAGCATGCCGCGTTTTTGTATGACGCGCGCGGCACGCGTATACGAACTATTTGGTTTTGTCAGCCACTGCGGCCAATCCCATTATCCATAGAGGTTTTGGCAGATTTTGAATAATTCATGTTGTCCCAACTGTGAAACACTCGGCGCGTCGGTGGGATTCGAACCCACGCAGTAAGGGGAGGGCTTTAGTACAGCCACCACTCCAACCACTTGAGCTACGATTACCCCAAAACGGACGACTCCAGTTTAATCACATTTGCGTCAAGTTATCAGCACAACCTACTGCAACGTCTGGAATCCACCAAATCTGATACATTAAGTTGACTGCCCAAGCAGGATTTCCTAAGTAATTCACCTAGAATCCACCAGATGACTACCAGGCTCAAAATCTACCAAAACCTCTATGAATTACGTGAGCGGCAGAAATCGCAAGGAGTTGCCATGTAATCCATGTAGGAAATCCTGCTTGGACAGTCAACTTGCTGTATCAGATTTGGTGGATTCCAGACGTTGCAGTAGGTTGGGCGGATAACTTGACCCAAATGTGATTAAACTCGAGTCGTCCGGTGGTTAGAGCGTTGGCTGTACGAAAGCCTTCCCCTTACCGCGTGGGTTCGAATCTCACCAAGGTGCCGAGTTTTTCACAGTTGGGTCGATACGAATCCCATTATCGGCAAGCCAACAAACTCGGATAGTCTGCTGGTGCACGGAACAGTGGGAGAGGGAGTGAGGGAGAGAGAGAGGCCAACACTG